AATAACAATACCAGTGACTCACGACCCCCAACATCTCTGAGGTGGTTGTACATATACAAACCAAGGGTACACACACATACACCAATAGGCCTAAGACTATTTTGCCATGATGACAGTTAATTATATTTTACTAGATATTTTTCAAGACACTTCTATACAGCTTGAAGTGACATTTAAAGATCTAACTAGGTTAATTAGGTTAACTGGGCAGGTTAGGGTAATTAGGCAAGTTATTGTATAACGATGGTTTGTTCTGTAGACTATTGAAAAAAAAATTGCCTAAAGGGGCTAATAATTTTGTCTTTAAAATGGTGTTTAAAAACATTTAAAACTGCTTTAGTTCGAGTCGAAATAAAATACATAAGACTTCCTTCAGAAGAAAAAATATTATCAGACATACTGTGAAAATGTCCTTGCTCTGTTACACATTATTTGGGAAATATTTAAAAAAAGAGAAAAATCCAAAGGGGGGCTGATTCTGATTTCAACTGTACATAATCAAAGAAGTGTGCAACTTAAGCAAAACTGACACTGTAATAGTTTTAAATTTGGTTTTGTACTTCGGCCTCAAATATTTGATCCATTTTTAATTGTTTAAGTTCATTTGATCGACAATATAAAAATCAGTGAATAACATCAACGCATTTATTGGGCAAAATAAAATATCTACATTTTACTGTAACAAGTCTCCATCTCCAGATCGATAACCCATTGTTGCTTAATAAATATTTTCATAATTTGCAATTGCTTTATTCTTGGAGACTTTAATACGAATGTATGCAAGTGCAATACCCTAATTATAGTAAGGTTAGTACACAGTCATAGACTTGAATGCAATAGTACTAATAATTGACCATTTATTTTGGTGTTTTGCTTTTTTTTGCCTTGGTTTCCTCTTAATCGGTTTGCGGCTTCAGCCAAGAATTTTAATTTAGTTGCATACCTAAAATAAGCATGTGAAAAATGTTTGAAACAAAGGTAACTAAATAAACAAATACTATTAACAGTATAAAATAATTAATAACTGTAATTCACTACTGTTGATGTGGTGCCAAACAAAAATAAGACATGAACAGAAGGAAGAGAAAGAAAAAACTCATTGGTGAGCTATGCAAGGACATCATGAATATATTTGGAAGTGATAGTGATGATGATGTCATGACATATGTTTGTATGCCGACCTGCACCCACTCCTGAGCCTGAGCCGAGGGCTGGAGCCATGCGATAAAGAAGACATTTGTAAGATGCTACCGCTGTTACACAATCTCCCTCAGGCCTGCAAACACAATGTTTCCATCTTGTGCACCTCACTGGCTCTTTTCTCAAATGGCCAAAAGCAGCAAAAGTGGCAGTGGGGATAAAAAGAAGGCTCTTTTCTATTTCCAGCCATTTCTACTATCTCGTCTTATTTGATACGGTTCGTCTTAGCGGAAGTCATTTTCAAAAAACATAATGATCCCTACCGTGCATTTTGTTGACATTACATATACGCTCCAGGGAGAACCTACAGACTTATCTGTACTGCGCCAGGCAAGACAGACCCATATTTGGACTAAGAAGGCAGAGTGGACTCGGGGGGATTGAATCTGGTCATCATCCTCATCGCTCTTAAAAGGTCAAATGGACTGATTAACAGACTGAGAGCCAAGAAAACCAATGTGCTTCGAGTAAGTCTTAAAGATGTAGCTTGAAAACACATCCATCTCTCTTATTATACAGTTGAAGTCAAAGTTATTAGCCCTCCTGTATATTTTTCCCCAATTTCAGTTTGACGAAAAGAAGAATTTTTTCAACAAAGTTTAAACATAATAGTTTTAAATTCTCATTTCTAATAACTGATTTATTTTATCTCTGCCATGATGACAATAAATAATATTTTACTATTTTTTTTCAAGATACTAGTACTCAGCTTAAAGTGACATTTAAAGGCTTGAATAATTAAGCTAGTAATGGTAATTAGGCAAGTCGTTGTATAACAGTGGTTTGTTCTGTAGACTAGTGATGCTCAAACACTAAATAGTACCGGGTTGGCAAAAGAAATCATTAATTATTTCTGTTTTATTAATCATCTGAGTCTGAAGGATCTTTTATTTTGAAAAGTCTTTTATTTTGAAAAATTACCATATTCACTTGAGCGCCCAAATTTAACCCACAAGCAGCAAAAGAATTTAGGAACAGATATCTATGAAAAGTAATTTTGCTAAGGGGAAAATGCCCACTGAAGGAACCGCAAACTGCCAAGGAATGGATCAGCCACCCCTGTGGCGGATCTAGTCATGGGCAAATTGGGTGATCCTTTTCGTACGCACCGCCCTGTGACACCCCACTCCCTCTTGGGCTTACTGTGAGGGTAGCATGACCGTCGTTTGCCTAAAGCACCAGTTAAGCTTAGACCTGTACTGCGCAAACCATGTCAACAAATCAGGTGGATCCAAATTGCCTTTGCAAAAAGATCAACAGGAAATCGCAAATGGTGGCGGCCTTTTAGGGGCTGTTGGTATCACATATTTTCTAGAGTTTACGCAAGTTTGTTATTTCCAATCGAGGTGTGTGGCTTTCACTCGGAAGCGACACAATGCGCTCGCGCCTTCCAGACACACACAGTTGAATGAATGCAGGAGCACATCATGAGTCACGTGACACAAACTGACCAATCAGGTTCGGCTTGTATGGAACATACAAATCATCTGAGAAAATGGTTGATGGTCGTCTAGCAGCCTACGAAATACTGTAAAAAAATTCCTTACACTGTTACTGGAAAGATTTTAAAAATATATATAAATTCACAGGAGGGCTAAAAATATTGACTTCAAGTGTACTTATCAGTTATTTGATAATGTTTGATATTAAATAATGTATTTGGTCTGAAATTTAAGAAAATTAAGCTTTACTCAGGGGAATTGGAATCACAATCACTTTAAGGTTTCTAGAAAATACATTTCTATGAATTACTGGAACTATCAATCAGAACTTTCTACAGATTTATCAAAAGGCTGTCTGCATGTAGTTAATTTTACTGTTGCATATGCAAACAATGGAGCCAAAAATAACCACATTTCTTAAAAATTCCAAACCACAAATATCTTGCAGATAAACATGGGAAGTTTGCTTAAGTCATGAAAATCTATTTCGGTCTTTAAAATGATTACAGTAAACAATAGTATTATTGGTGCATATGTAAACAGTGTTAATAAAGAAAAGTGAACTGTAAAAAAAACAATAGCTCAACATAAGTTAAAACAGGAATTTTACAGAATTTGCAATAATTATTTAGGGTCTGAATGAAAAGTCTATAACTTAGTGTGGTTAACTTTCTCAATGGTGATATAAATAAACAGCCATTTTACCAAACCCCCTGAGTGCACAGTGCAGCTGTTTCCACATTACGATGACAAAAGGTGAGATTACGCCAGGCCATCTCAGTTGCATATAATCATTGCAGCCTGCCATTATCAATGTAAATCATCATCATCTATACATATAAAAAGTCACACTTGCTTATTTAACAAAAGCTTAGCTGAACACTGCATAGTCTATAACACCAACAAATCAACTCTAATAAATGATGAAAAAATGATCTCATTCCAAACATGAGTCAATTCAAGCAAACAATAATCAAACGAAACAAACACAGGCTATTTATTTAAAAATTACTATCATCTTTTGATAAATTGTAGCTACAGCTAAATCCTTTACATGCAATTTTGATGTAAGCCTAGCTTTGTTTTGCCCAAGGACCTCGAACAGTGTGACAAAAAAAATTTTTACCCACTTTTTCTGGAAAATTCTCATAATTTATAAAACAAAATAATAATAATTATTAATAGCTATATTATGCCATTTGTGTAACTTTTATATATTAGATAGATTTTTGTGAAATCATTCAAACAGTCCAATTCAAATTATTCTTGGGTTAAACCTATTCTTCATCTAATTATAATCCTAACTCTACACTACCTGACAAAAGTCTTGTCGTCGATTCCAATTGTAAGAGCAACAAATAGTAACTTGACTTCTAGTTGATCATTTGTACAAGTGGCAGAAGGTAGATTTTTCTGATGAATCATCTGTTGAACTGCACCCCAAACATCACAAACTCTGCAGAAGACCTATTGGAACCCAAAGTCAAAGCTTTTTTTATTGGATGCCAATGTCAAAGTTTAATGAAAGAGCAATCATGATTTGGGGTTACATTAATAGGCATGTCTGGGGTAAAATGGAGGAGGCATTAAAGATAAATCCAAATAAACTAGATGAACTCTGGGAAATTAGCATAAAATAAGCATAATCTAGTGGCCTTTGCCTTTCATTTAAGCCACTTCTGATAACTAATGATCAGTTAGAAGTCAAATTAATATCAGTTGTTTCTAAAACTTGGACAGACAACAAGACTTTTTTCAGGTAGTGTAATGGGTCTAATTTGTTTTAAATTCAATGTAAGCTAAAACATCCTTATTGTAGAGAAAATGAATTGTAACATTAACTTCACAGTCTTAAAAAAAACTCTTAATAGCCATATAAAAACTACACTAAACTCCCTGCAACATAGTTTTACCTAGATCATTAAAGATAATGCACAACCTTAGCCTAAAACTTATTATCCTAAAAAGCAGTGCAGCCCAGGTGTAGACAAATTCAAGACTTTCAATCAAACTGATGAGCTGCTGGCACTGAATTTCAGTTTGCCTGGAGAAACAGCAGGGTGACAATCACAAACGGGTCATTTCTGGAGAAAGGCATTTGATCAGTTAAAACAGGAGGGAACACCCAGTCACCATTAGCCAAAACAGCCATTTTTCCCCACTGTGAAACTGCAAAACAAGGATATTAAGATGACAAATGCTTCCCAAGTGACCACAAAGGCACAAATTACCTCTGAGGCCGAAAACAAATATTTAGATGAAGTTAAAAGCTTCCGATAAACAGCTGTGTGCAGGGACACGGAAAGCAGCGCAGATCTGCAGGATTTTAGAGAGGAACAGCAGCGTTTATTTACGTACCGTCTGGCTCTCGGGGAAATCCATTTTTATCAACTTGTGGGCGCATTCTTCGAAGTCCAAGCTGTGAAAAGAAAACATGAAAACGTCACCTTCTGCAACTCGTGCCTTAACAGAAATCTAACATGCTGACTTTAAACAGATCCCAAGGTATGCATGAGATTTTAATACATTACATGCTACCGCAGCTCATAATAAATCAAATGTAACATTAAATGAACCAGGCGACATTAAAATTATGCAAAACTATCAACGCACCAGAGGAAACTGGTCCATTGAAGGTTAACATTGGTAACACCATGAGCAGAATAATAATAATAATAATAAATACAGACCTAAACACAAAAGACATTACAAAATAGGTTTGATCTATACAGAAATGAGGATTCTTTGTTGTGTAGGTCAACCTCTATGCCTGTCCTAGGAATGTTTTGGCTCTCTAGAGCTTCATTTAAGGTCAGTGCAAGATTCTGTTTATGTGGACATGTTTTGGCCAGTGTTGCCTGTAGAGCTGCTGGATCTAATGAGACATTATATTATACTGGAGCTATACATTTGCATTCTTAACTGAATGTGATGATAGAGTATAGAGATGACAGACTGGGTACTGTCAACTAATATAAAGACAATAAATAAAAAATAAAATAAAAAACATCTTTCTATTATGATCAGCAGAGAAAAGCAATTCACAGACAAATGACCCTTATGGCAATTTCTTTATAATAAATTGGTCAAGATGACTCGACTCAAACAAGTCAACAAAATAAAAGGTAACAAAGGTTTTAAATAAAATACACACATATGGATGATATGAATTTAATATCATGCATCGTTTCATTTAGAATGAATCGAGATAAAGCAACACGATGTCAAAATAATTAAGAAAAAGATACAAAGTAATAGCTATAAATAAAATAATAATAACAAACATTTAACATGTAATACCGTGAAGATGTTTCTTTTTAAATGACGTCCAAAAAAGAAAATAAACACACACACATGCATAAGACATAAAAAGCTTAATGCATGAATCAGTCAGAATATTCATGAAACAGAGCAATGATGAATAAAGAAAACGGTCTCTAATACCCAACAAGATGATTTGGTTTGCTGCTTGTTCAAACGACTTTTGTTTAAAATGAAGGGAACAACACAATTCTTGAGATTTTTGCAGGGATAACTTACTGTTTTATGTCCAATCCACATAAATTAAACTTAAAATAAACTTAATTCCTTCATGCTGTCCCACCACAAATAAATTAGGTGGCATTTTTACAGTGAAGAATTAAAATGAAATAAGGTGCTTAAGTATTGGTTAGTCATCACATCTCTGAATAAATTAAATATATAAAAAGAAATGAAATGTATAAAAGTAAAGGTTTGATTATGTAGAATGCAGATCAGGGGTGCTCAACCGCGTTCCTGGAGATCTACCTTCCAGCCGAGTTTAGCTGCAACCTTGATCCTTCTTAAAGGGTCACGAAACACCAAAACACATTTTTTGAGCTGTTGACAGTCGTATATGTGTCCCACACTGCTAAAAACACTATTAGGACACCTATATTTCACTAAGTGTAAATTGGTTGTTTTTGCGTTATTTCAAGCAAATTCTTACTTCCGGTTTGAAACGAATTTTTGAAGCTGCGTCACGGTCATGACATAATAGCGTTGTATTCCAGCGTGCAGACTGGACGTCTGTGCCAGAGTGTGTCTTATTACGTCTTACAGTGTGATGCATTAATGCATGAGTAAGGCTTGGTTCAAACCAATCAGCGAGCTCTATTGTGCAACTTCATTAATATTCATTACTGTCACCGTGTTTACACGACAGAGACGCCACGTTGTGTTGGCAAAACAAGCGTGAAGTGTTGCTTTTATAGTTTGCTGCCGTTAAGTTTTGTTTTCATTTTCTCTCTGTGAGAGCTCATCTGGAGTCACGTGTGGATTAACAGTGTACGCGACGCTCGACAACAATAACTTACGTGTCTAAGGAGGATTATTGTTTACCTGAGAGCTGTTCTCATCTGCAAACGCTGAAATCCGGATTCGCTTGTAGTCTCCTCTTAACAAAGACGTGGCTCTAGTTGCTGGTGATTGTCCTGTCTCTACAGTATTGTTTGTATTGAACAAACTATTGCACAGAGTGTAAACATGTTAGCACCACAACCAAACTTTAACCTCGTGTAGGATTTTTACCACATTTTGTGTCAGGAATAAGACACGCGGCTTTCTGACACTACCTGCCGTGTGCATTTAAGTTTCCGGGAAATGCTGAGTTTTTTTTCCTCTCATTCGCCGTGCGGTATCAAACATTGCATGAAAAATACACGGTTACAGCAGTTCCTCAAATCAAATATCTCGTTTGTCGCGAGGGACATGAATGAATTCTCTGAATGGAAGACAGTTAAAGTCCACCATTTAATAATTTGGCAAATAATTCTACTACAGATGCCCATGTAAACACAGTCGCGTGCCCAAATAGACACTCCCACACCGTGCCTCTTTTCTTCCTCCGACACTCCCCCCTAAACAGAGCTGGACACGCCCACTTTTCTGACTTTTTCCAAAGTAGAGGTGTGAAAACACACTGCTGAAACGAGGGGGTTTCATGGCCCTTTAAGGCCGGCTTACATTGTGCAATTTTCTATAATCCTGAACGATTGTAGCATGTCAAACTGCATGAACATGGCTCGCATGTCACAACACAAAAGAAAACGCCCCCGAAGTTTGATGTGATCAACCCGTGACACTTTCACTATCACCCGTTCTGAAGTGATTCCTCACAGCAAACGTAAAAAAACTGTAGCTGCAACTTTGCACATGGCATGTTTCAATAATAAAACCAGGAAGAAAAAAATTGACATATGACATTTCTCGCTGTCGTTTGAATTGTCGCATAGATCGCTTCATCAGATTCTGCACTCCTATTGGTTCTTGGAATTACGATCATCGCAGCTGTTGTCACACTGCAGAAAACTGTCTAAAATCTTCATGAATAGGGTTGAGCAGCCCTGGTGTAGGTGACCCATGACTAGGTTCACACAGAATCTGCGCACACAGAAATCCAAAGATTTCTGCAGATTTTTAGCCCATCTTTGCCTTTATTTATTTACTTGTGTAAATGTGTTTACATTTATATTTATTTAGTTTTTAAATGCATTTCAGTAATATTATTAAATAACATTGTTCATATGATTTATATACTTTACAGTTTGTAAAGTTATATTTACTGTCTTTTAGTAGATATACTATGAGAGACTTGCATTGTTTACCAAATAAGTTGATCTAATTTACTTCCAGGAGGGAGCTAAAATCAAGGGCCATGCGATTCACGACCAGAAGGAAGTTGAATTTGGATGGCACAAATTTAGGGCTTTAAAGCTTAACTTTTCGATTCTAGGTAAAAAGTCAAATCTGTTGGAGACGTCCAATAGATTAATAGGTAACAAAAAAAGTCAACAGAGGAGGGGCTTGATCACCAGAATGGGAAAGTCCTAAAGTAAAGTGAGAAAATATGATACACCGCTGTTTTGGAATTTGGAAAAACTGTCTTTACGCTGTTTTCATCCGTTTTAAGATTATTTGTCTTTATTTAATTTAAATTTGTCTCTTTTATTCCCGTTTATATAAAGCACTTTGAATTGCCACTGTGTATGAAATGTGCTATATAAATAAACTTGCCTTGCCTAATTCACGGGTGTCCAAACTCAGCCCTGGAGGGCCAGTGCCCTGCAGATTGCAACTCCAATTTGCCTCAACACACCTGCAAGAATGTTTCTAGAAAGCCTAGTAAGCGCTTGAATAGCTAGCCCAGGTATGTTTGATTAAGGTTGGAGCTAAACTTTGCAGGACACCGGCCCTCAGTGACAGAGTTTAGACATCCCTGATCTAATTGGATTTGCATTGTAAACATAAAATAAAAGTAATAAATATACGTTTTATATTTGTATAACTTAATTATACATTAAGTTTAGTTACGATAATCATTCTGCATAAATCTGGTAAAATTTTTTTTTTTTTACAAAACTGCACAGAAAAGCAACAACAACAAAAAAAAAATCTGCAGATTCTGTCCTACCCATGACACAGGCCTCTAAAATAAAAATATAAAATAAGAACTTGCAATTGCATTAAGAGCTTGCAACACAATATAAATGTGCTACTCCATGTATGTTTAACTTGATTTTTAATTAAATGGGGATTGACTAAACAAACAGTTTCCAAAACTCTGTTTGCACAAAGCAAACAATGGTCATGAACCTCGCATCTCCTTCAGACATTTCAGACAGAATTTTGCATCTATCAGTTAGTTTCACAAAGTGCTGACAAACAGCATCATGTGATGCCCGCAGATACTAATCTGTCCAACACACAGACCAAAACAAACTCAGCTAAATGCTTCGGTTTACAGTAGGGACGTGTGGCTAAGTCTGACCAAACCAGAAAAAAACCCTATGAATACTTTATTTCAGCTCTAAATAAAGTTGACTCTGCTCTACTTCTTTAATGTTAGAAAGATGTGCCAAGACTACTTCAAAGGGCACGAGCAGCCCAGAAAAAAAAAGAAAAAAAGGGCTCAACTTGACACTACAGGCCCCATGGTGCACAGTCAGAGCTCAGAGCAACTCCATTTTAATGCCACTCAAGCCCATACCGATCCACACATCACCAGACTGACAGGACAGTTCAGCAGTACAGAAGCGTACACCACACATACTGAATCAAACTGTCAACACTGTCATTCTTGTGTCCTTCTAAGATTGTAGACTTTCTGCTGTGGAGCACAAAAGAAGATATTTTGAGAAACAACCCTTTTGTTATCCCTGTAGTGGAATACAATGGAGGTCAGTAGTTACCAACATGATCTGATTACCAATAGGGGTGTGAGATATTTGTGTACAACTCTATTACAGTCCCTAAAGGATTTTGCAGGGACATTTTTTTTAATCATTACGGCCTAAAATATGGCTGCTTTACTCAAGACTTAAACCATTTTTTTGCTTCAATACTTGTGTTTTGCTCTGAAAATACATACAATTTTTTTAAGTGTTCTTTTGTTACATT